AATCAATATTCTTTGTTGAAATAAATTAACACATTTATTTTAATTTAAAAATAATATTTATATAATTTTTTAAAAGTTTTATACTCATTTAGATAGGTTACACGCGCAACGCGCGTACCGTAAGACTAGTACTATATTAAAAGCACTAAGGCCCTAAACGAAATATCGTTCGCCTTTTTTACCCTTTTAAAATAAATTTTATACTAGACAAAATAGTCATTTTAATTATTTCCCTCATATTTAGGAATAATCATTTATTTATTTTCCTAATTAGGATTCCAAAATTAACTAAACTTATATTAATATTTCCTTACTTAAATTTTATAAAGTATTTATAATTCAGTCCATCATTATTCTCTGGATTACATTTTCATAATACGTCAAATCATATTAAGGTGCATACACCTAGCTAAAACAAAAACTTTTATAACTTGAAGAGGCTTAGGCCTATTTGTTTGCATTTAATGGAGGTCTGAATCTTAATCATTCAGATCTCAGACATTAAGCGTGTTTATTTTTAAAGTCTGAATCTTGATTATTCAGATCTTAATCATTAAGTGTGTTTGTTATTTTTACTCCACCACCACTTAATGGGTCTGAATAGGTCTGTATGATTAAGATTTATAATAGATACTTAATTTCATTAAGTTGCTATCACATATTCATTATTAACTGCCGTCACCGTCTACCATTATCAACTACCACCATGCCACCACCACCACCACCACCACCACCACCACCCCACCACTACCACCTCCACCTCCACCACCACCATGCCACCATAATCCTCAATCATAGCCACCAGCATTATCGACCATCACCACCCACTATCTCCACCACTCCGACCACCATATATCATTCTCACCCACAATCAACACTCATCCACCTCAAACCACAACTGACTACTCCATCACCATCAACCACCACAGCCGGAACTGCCCATCATTATAACCTACCACCATCCACCCACCATCTTCCTCAGTCACAACTAATACCACCACCTGCCATTATTAACTATCACCACCCACCACCACCATCTCAATCATAATCGCCACCACTACTAATCACTACTAGCTACTAGCAGAAACCACCATCATCAACCAAAACTACCACAAACATATGAAATCCATTAAAAATACTTCATCTTTTCCAACACAAGAATTAAAAGAACAATTTTAACTTTTACCTTCCAAAGAAATAGATTGTATGGAAAATCTTTAACTCCAAATAACTTCTTTTTTGAATAGGAGATAGAGTTCTTGTATTTTATATTGAAAAGGTAAAAAAATTCTACAAAAGTCAAAATGAAAATTATATATTGTAGTATAATTTAAAGTCTTAAATATTTAGTCCATCTAAAGTTTAAAATACTAATGTCATTATATTTATGAATTATAATAAAATTTCATATTAATTCGAACTCTTTTCGTACTAAGAATATGAGATATAGAGAGAGAAGAGTGATTGGCAAAAGTCAATAACACTGATGTTAAGGATAAAATAATGTTCTTCAAACACAAAGATCCAAAAATAAAATATTGATCAAGTATTTATGGAGTTAAGGATAAAAATGCAAGTGACTAAGCATCATCCATATTTGATATTACAGTTAAACATTTAAAAGATGGAATGAGCTAAAATTAAGAATTCGAAGTGTTTAAATTAATTGATTAGCAAAAGAATCCAATCCAATGTTACAAATCACCATATAAGTAAGTCATCTTTCAAATTTACACAATAGTTTAGAGGTTTTTTCCTATTTATACCATATATGAAACTTTATTACCAAAAATGTGCATAGTATCTAAATTACCCGCCTAGTCCACACTTTTCCTACAATTTCTGTACCATTTGTTTAATACACGATTAATTGGGCAGAATCTTCCATAATTAACGCGCTAAAAATCAGGAAAAAATCTTGCGATTGATTGAGTCTACATTAAAATTCTGCCTTAATCACCTGCGAAAAATTAGGAAGCCATTTTAGAAGTAAATATTCTTCCAGATATTTTCCACCATTGATAGCCATTAAAAAGCTTGAAAGCTTTGAATTCAAATTTGGGTTTTCAAAAATCATTATTTGTTTGGATTGGGTATTGTTGAAAATAATCGGGAATATGGTTTGTATTATAAAATATTATTTTGTAGTGGATGTCTATAACTCCTAAAGAAGTTACTCCCACTACTCTTCTCCATTATGTAGATAACTCCCACTACTTCTCACCATTATAGTTGTAACTCTCACACCTCCATAACCTCCCCATGATCTTTCTCCATGATCACAAATGTTTAATGTCATGTTTATGGCATTCTTTTGTATGCCTCTATGTAATCCTATAAATAGAGGGTTTTGGCATCACATTGTACACACTTGAATACATAGAAGAAATAAGATTCTCTCCTCTCTTTCTCTCTACATTGTTGTCTATTTTATTGTTCTATATTGTTACTTTGAGCTAAGTTTCGTAGCACGTTATCAGCACGAAGCTTTAATCAACCTAGAAGATATGAATGGTCGTCAACCTTGAACCAATTTGGTTGAACCAATGGAAATATGGGCATTATTACGTATGTCATATTAATGTTTAGTTTGCCTCTATTTTCCAGGGAGTATTATTTTTCAATTATACCATAAATTGTGTATTTAGCTTATGTTAAAATTTTAGATTTGTAGTTGCTTTGTTTAGAAAAACTAAGTTTTGATTTTAAGTTTTCATGCTTGTATGGCTATATATGTCCACTAACTTTGTTCCTAGTTCTAAGATTGATCTTATACAATTATAACATCATGCTATCATTGATTTTTCATGATATTAAAAGATCTTTGTGAAACATTAAAAAGCATTCTGGTCATGTTGTGTATTAACGAGGACCTTTAAGATCGATGGCCTATTCTAATTAGATGCAACATTTTTGTGCTGATAATTGACAAAGTGATATCATTATGTTTTACTAGCCTATTTTGACATCATTTATATTAAAACAGAATATACTAGCAATAGTTATTACTTAAGATTATTTATTTTTTAAAGTTAAGTATATTTAGTTATGTGTTTCAATTCTTGTGTGCATTTTATTTAATCATCATGCACTAGTTTGCAGTAATACATCACATAGTAATAACGCTACATGGTGACTCTCTTATTGACATGTTTATATGTAGGATACTAGTACACCAGCTATTACTCTATCATATTTTTATTGATAATAGTTCTTATCATTTCTATTTACTTATTTTTTATGATAGATTTTACTATGTGGCTACATAAAATTATATTCCATTCCCTAATGTGAATCAGACCATTTGTGATAAACATTATATAAGGATAACACGGTGGGTTCAAGTCCCAACGCACCATGAGGGTAAGACATCGGATTTGGAGTCCTGATGATCTATGATTGTAAAAGTTGGGTTCGAGTCCCAACTCATTATGGCCTAACATGTCTTTATATGGGTCAGACATTGGGCTTGAGTTCCAATGCACCATATGGATGACATAGTGATGACTAAAGAAAAATAATGTATTTTTCATGGAAAAGCATGAATCTTGTCCAACTTGATTTGCACCATTCTTGAAGTGAATGTGGTAGCAATGCATAATAACTAAATGAAGACAAGTGGTTGACCAATAAACGTGGGTGTGCCAAAGATCAAATAATAATAGTCATCATTATGGTAATTGTAAAATGAGAACAATAAGGGTTCTCAAAATAGTCTTTCAAAATGTGAAGGCAATGTTTACCATCAAATTGGTGTGGA